GGTATCAAGTATTTGCATATTTTCGATAGATAGTAGCGATGAAGCGGTTTTCATTTCGTCATGAAAAGTGTAAAGCGCTTGTTGTTGATAAGCCTACAATGACAAATGTGGGCGCAGGGGGCGGGGTTTGCCATTTTTCGAATACCTTTTTTTTCTCGCTTTTTGCTCGGAAAAAGTGTTGAGACATACCCAAGGTATCCAACTATCAAAACTCCAATTTTAGGTGACAATTTTCTTTTCGATTTTGTCTCCAGACTTTACGAGATTACCACTTGGGCGGATCTTAGGCTCCTGTTGCTCCACTCTATGGGATACCCAAAATTTGAGAGGAAAACAAAGACATCCTGATCTATTCAGAAAAGGAGTTTACTTTTGGGACAACCTAATACTCAGAGAGTCCAAACCTGATTAATTACCAATTTAGAGCATTAGTCTGGAGGATAAAGATTTATTTGAAGAGATGAACCTTTGTATTATTGAGTCGTAGCACCTTGAGCCACTACATCGCCATTTCTGAGGCTGGCTATGATAAAAAGAACCCGGGCTGTAAAAATAAAACATTACAAAGCTTTCCATGGCCGGAGGGTAGAGAGCTTGACTGGCCAAAGGGCGGGGGTCGAACCTAGATGATCTGGTCATAGCAACGCGTGATACCACTACGCCACTCAACCCAGTTGATTTTTACGGTAGTTTAAAGCCAACATGGATTCTCCATATGGCGTTACACTTCTGGCGGCGAATTCGTGAAAATAAGCTGGAAATTAAGCTGTAATGGTGAAAATCTGGTTTTGTGCCGAGGACATAATCAAATTGCAGTGCATCCTTTATCTCGATGGAAGAACTGGTAGCACAAAGCTGCATTAAATTCCGCGTTCCAGGCTCAATGCAAATGCACCGAATTTGATTCCCGACGGACTAATAAAACCTGTCTGGACTCCAATTTTTCTGCTGATTTTCCAAGCCTTCAATCTTTCTGGGTAGATCGCTGCTGCTTCACTTGCAGTAAGGGCTGTGATCTAATGATAACCGCTCATTTTCAAAATAGCGCTGTATTGCACAAATCTGAAATTTACCGTGGATCTATACTACAACGTATTTCGCTTTGTATTCTCCAAATTCTGATGAATTCCTTGTGAAGTATGTTTCTTTTCGAATTGCAAGCACTCAATTCTCTGTATTACCTAGAAATTTCTTCCCGAAACAGATGGAAATTTTCTCAGCATTCTTCCAAAAAAGCAACTGAAGTGCATAGGTAGACCAAATCACATAGAAATGAATGTAAGACTGAATATTGTGAACGGTAGGGCGTATGAAATGTAGACCTACGCTTGAATACTGACAAATTCCTAATCTGCGCAATAGTTCATACATATAAAGTTAATCCCTATTTGAAGTATTTTGAAGGGAAAAAGCTCTCACGGAAAACGATTTTTAGCTGTAAAATTATGCATTCTGCTCCGATAACTCCGCATTTTCAGCCGACAGATTTTCTTATGCTATATCATCTTCCTCCATATGGTAGTTTTTTTCAAAAGTCTATTTTGCTAGAGTTGAAAGCATAACAATCAAACTATCAAGTTTTTCTCCGCTGCCCTTCTTTAAGACAAATTTAAAGTCACGAATTTCAGTACATATGAAAGGTGGCATATACAAGGAGTGTCTCCGTAATCTAAAGGCCAGCAAAGTAATTGAGATGGATAAGCTTATGGTTATTTTTGATATTCGAAGTTGTACGCATCAGTGCTTTCTACAATTATGTCGATTCAGTTCATCCATTGCACTTTCTGCTCCAATGAACGCGAAGGGATGTTGCGTCTTTTCCATTACTATTCCTAGATTCATTTACAGCTCATGAGTTTCAAGCCTCAATCTCAACGGATTTGGTAAAAATCAAAGGCCGTTATTCCTTAGGATTCGTTGAGCGAACGTCTGAAAATTGCTCCACCAATGCTTAAAACTGCTACAAGAAATCAAATAGGGAAAATGCATTCCTACTTTTAAAAAAATTCGTATTTTCTTACAGGTTTTCGAATCTCCTATTTTGGTCAAAGCGGAAGAAGCGAATCTGAGCGCTAAAGGCCTCACCGTGACAACTGCCTTTGGCACATCAAAGCTAACAGACCACGCATAGCAAAATTTTCATGGTTCTACTACAATACTTTCAAAAAAGGGCACTCACTACTGGATGGAAGACAAACAGATTAGCTGTCTTGTTTTTCTCGCCAAGGCTTCTCAATCACTATCGTATCCACGTCACTTTGAGCAATTTTCTCTTCACTTGTGATTGAACGACCACTCCAAAAACTAGCATTCGCATTTCTTTTCGACTCTCGAGATACAAAACGTAGCTCAGCTGTGAGCACATTGAAACCTTTGTATTTTTACCCTTCGGATGTAGGAAGTGCCTTAGTATGAGAGGCGCAGACCAAAATCTCGTTATCATTGTCATCGTCATCCATCTCGTGTAGTTATGAATATAGCGTGAAGCGCTTGTGATAAAGACGTCCTGTCAGTGGTGTTTTAGCATTTACATTGCACCTAAACTTAAGGAATTGCAACGCAAATTTGATCCAGAATTCCTACAACATCTTTTCTATACTGCTTGAGAAGTTCTATGACAAGATATACAGGGTGTCCCAAAAGTATGTATCGAACGTTTGATCGTTAATAACTCTCTTCCCAAGAAGTCTTTTGCCTTGCTTTAGGTACCGTTTTGTAGAGCTGGCTTCAACTTAGATTTGCACTATAGAACGAATCATTCATCTCTCTTCATTACTGTAGGATTACGGTAGAAACTTGAAACATATGGTGTTAATGTGAAAAAAGCTGCCGTTTCAAAATTTTTCAAAAAATCGTGAAAACTTGTGTAATAGGGTTTTTATGGACGCTGAGTTCAATAATTAACTATTCACAAGATTACGAAGCTTTCTAAACGGTGCAATCCCACTTTTTAGGAACATTGAAAAAATGGCCGCTACTTCTTACCTGGCATAACTCTTCAATGAAGCATCATAATAAGTTGGGAACTTTACAGTTATAATCAGCAACTCTAATTAGCCTAGTGTAAAAGTTTTAAGGCTGTTTTGTTTCCTTTCTGGGGCAAAATATGGCCTTTCATTGCTTAAAACCCTCCTTGAAGTTTCTACCGTAATCCTACAGTAATGAAGAGAAATGAGTGATTCGTTCTATACTGCAAATCTAAGTTGAAGCCAGCTCTACAAAACGGTACCTGAAGCAAGACAAAAGACTTCTTGGGAAGAGAGTTATTAACGATCAAACGTTCGATACATACTTTTGGGACACCCTGTATTTTTTCTTGGTCCGCGTGAACTTCTAAATAGTCATTCGGGAAGTTTTTTTTTCGCTTTTTACGCCCTTAACACTGGTGCCATATTCAAAAAGAGTATCAAAAGGCTGATGGAAGCTGCTCAATAAGACTGTAAAAACTCTTCTAGTTTCTGAGGACCTCATCAAACATGATTATAGGAATCATTCGGTATCTAAAAAAGCGACTTTTAAGTCATTGCTTGGGGGGAGGGGAGAGGGTGGACATCTAGAGCAAATCGCAAATGTAGCTGAACAAGATTATCACAGCCCTTGAGGGTCATACAAACTTACCAGAAGCCATCTTCGTGGAAGCTGCATACCAAAAATCACTTATTAAGACAAACGTTCTTTCTTTATCAATAAGTTGATAGAGCTATCTTTTTATGCGCGGATTAACATCCATACTCAATGAGCAAAGTACGTCTATAACAAGCAACATTGTGAAAAATCATTTGGAGCAAGCATTAAAGAAGATTCATGAAGAGTCATGAAGAGTCAGTCAAATGGGTGGTAGACCTAAATCAGAATCCTTCTTATCTTTACACTATAATCTTGTTAGGAATTTGCACAATTAAAGCAGAAGTGTACTAGTGTGAAATGTTCCATTTCAATGTCAAATTAAAACTGAGCGACTTGCGCACACCCACGATACCGCTAAACCACACATAAGAATGTCCCAAAAAGAGGTTGTCTGCGCGCCAAGGTTCCTACTCATCTCTTAATTTTTCTATACCTTCCTTGATCACTATTTTCTTTCTTCCTTGGAGCCTATCCAAAAATAAAAAAGCCCCAGTGATGTCAAAGAAGTGCTGAACACGATCATGTTTATTTGAAGGGAAAGTTGTGCTCGTGCAGAGTCAGTATTGCGAAATCGAAGAAACTTCAGGCAACCGGATAGCTTTCTTACAAGGGACGCATGTTTAGCCGTTGTGGCCTTTTAAGATGGGATGTACACCATACTGGCATAAAATGCTGATTCCAAATCTGCCTTCCTTCTCTGCAAAAATTTATGGACGAGGAATTATGAGCGCTTATTGAAGCAAAAAATTGATTGTGCAAGTAGGAAATAGCCGTAATACTTTTCAAGCTCTCCAATGAAGCAGTGATAATCATCGGAGCACTTTATTTAGAAAATACTCTAAATCAAAAATATATCGCACTGGTTGCTTTACCTGAAGGCTGGTATGAATTTAGCAACTCATTTTATCCAAAATGCACATTCAATTTTTCGCTCTAAAAAACGCTCAAAGCTCTTCGTCCATAATCGTTCTGCAGGTAAGGAAGGCAAGATGGAATTAGCGTTCCATGCCCTTCAGTTTGGTGTACATCTCATCAAAGGCTACTTCGACTAAACAAAGTTAACAGCAGTAGTTAGCTTTAACTTCTCCTGGCAACTCCATCGCTCACCCCTCTTCTTTCACACCTTTGTGGGTGTTCATGCAAATTTGAGATTTTCATTCATTGTCTGTTACATCCTGTACGTCCTCCCAAAGTATGAAATTGATGACAAATGATTTGTTTGTTTCCGAGCACAATCACGAGCTTTCACCGACCAGATTGTCCGCAGACGAGGGACGTGATGAATTGCTTCAGACTTCAACTTGATGTCTTCAGTTTCGCTAAAGAACCGGTAGTCCATGAAATAAGGATAAAGTGTCAGCATCTTTCATTTCGGTAAAGTGCGCTTGACATTTTCTTGCCCGTTGCACTTACTGTTTGTGGAACGTTCATCTAAAGTAATTAGTCCAAATTGTGCTCTTTCTTATCTTAGTGACTCTCGTTCTTTAAGCGCACTATCTCAAGATATACCAAAGTGTTTCAAAGATCAAATTTTCTTGAGTATAATGATCGTGAGTATAAAGTGACTGTATGATTGTGATTTGTCACAGATAGTCAGCCACGAATCTTAGTATGGTGAAGGTTCGGCTTTCCTTGAATCTTGGCATTGTTGTAAGCACCTCTCGGTGAGATTGCTGAGCTTAACCAAGATTGTTATGATAACTTTTATTGGCTGACGTCGACGTTTCGGCGATCTACGCCTTCTTCGGAGCCTGAAAGACGAAGTCATAAGTGTTCATCCATTCAGAAGTCGAGTGCAAACAGAGCCACAAGAACTCATACTCACGCAGCACAGTCGGTAGCTGGAGAACAGACCACCTAATGCAAAACTGTACCTCCAACCTTTATTTATACGCCTGAGTGACCTGACCTCAGTCAAACCCACAGAGGGCCTGATAAGGCGCGAGTTCGGTGGTGATTGCAAGGCACTCATCTTTTCTGTTCATTTTTGGATTTTTCGCAGCAATCCAAAATGCTTCTAAGTTTTGCGTGCCAGGAGTTCGGGCTCAAATGATAAGATCTTCACTGCAGTCTGAACTTCAGCACCTTCATGACGACTTATTCGATGTTGCCCCAGTGGTGTGGAGGGCCTTGATTTATTTAGCCCATCTAGATGTTCCTTGACGTCTGAGTGGATAAACACTTATGACTTCGTCTTTCCAAGCTCCGAAGAAGGCGTAGATCGCTGAAACGTTGACGTCAGCCAATAAAAGTTATCATAACAATCTTGGTTAAGCTCAGCAGTCTCACCGAAAAGCCACGAATCTATTTGGATATGTTAGCTTCATTCGCAAACTGTCGAGTCATCAAGAGATTTATTGCAATATATACGGAACTCCTGCACGAAACGCGTTACTCATCTAATCTTCATTAACGGGAGGATGTCTAGATAGATAACCAAAATATATCAGAAAACGGACATGCCATCAATGCCATTATTTTTGATTCCTTTTATAGCTTCAGTTAGGCAATAGATCGCCTTTATTGACTGTGATCATTATTCTACTTGCCTACCAGCGCATTTCTTCATGACATCCTAATCGCACGCTTTCTTTAACTAGTTATCTAATCCCTACCTTGGAGTGATGATGCAGGTCAGGGCTAGGAGTTAGACGACCGCGGAGAGTTTAGGAAAGAATGTGTTTTTATAACAATGAGAAAACCGATAACAACTAATAAGCTTTTATTTTCCTAACATATGTAAACAAACCCAAAAACAGATAGAAGGGCTTCATGAGTTGCCTCAAAAAGTAGCATATTCTTCGGGTCTACTTACAAATTTTTTTCAGAACATGCATATTTCGAGCTTGCTTATAATTTTGAGTTTCATTTACCTATGGAGCTTAATACGCTTTTTTTAGAGCCGATCTAGAATGGTGTTAGCGTTGTATGATAAGATTGCAAAGGTTCGAGGGTTTTTGCGAGGTTGGGAAGGAGTGAGGATAAGGCTGGGTTCGTAGTCTGGAAGTTGCGGCACAGTTTCAGCACAGTTCTCGCACTGTGCTGTAACTGTTTCGGGGCTATGCTGCATGCGCTGCAGCCATCCGCATGCGGTTTTGAGCTGCGCGAAATAGCAGTTTTGGAATTTATTGAACGGGTTTGATTGTATATTTTGCCCATTTTCGTCTCATTCTTTCACCTTGCTTCTTCTTGTGATGAAAAGATTTGAACTCGAAGATTCGAGAATGAAGCTATTCCGTGTTGTGCCGTGCGCAAACGATGTATTTTCTTTCGCGCGTAACTTTTCTTTCGTTTTATGGCGAGTATTCTTCTTGTAATTCAGAATATCGCTGCGTTCTCGATATCAGGAGATGCCTTTAATAAGGACTGATGACTATCATCACGATTGCGGAGATCGCGATTTTTTTCATGTTCTAATAAGATTTGGTTTTTAGGCGTTTAGGCGTTTCAGCCCCATTTCTTCTCATAACTCACAATGTTTGCTCGTTCGTTTTTAATTACCTTCCGCATCTAATGAAAGAACTCCAAATTTAGAAATATGTACACGGATGAAAGCGGCATCAGTTTGTGACAGCTTTCAGCGTGATGTACATAAAGAAATAGCACTAATTCTTGTACACTCTCCGACTTTGGAGCTTGTTCTACCACAAGAGCAAGCGATACAAGAAGGAGGCGAAAGCAAGCAAAATATAGCATGACCGTTGAAAAAAATCAAAAGTTCTACTTCGCGCTCAAAAGGGCATGCGTGCGGCTGCAGCGCATGCAGCATAGTTCCGGAACAGTTGTTCCGGAACATCCAGACTAGTATGAACCTAGCCTAAAGGGCAACTTCCAGCATCTGGCATGGCTAATGGTCCGCATTTTTGCGCACGAGAATTTGTAACACTTCCGGTACCGTTACTTCCACAGCAACAAACATTCACAAAACAATTGGAAAATTCTAGATATGAAAACGTTCAAAAACCCTAATTCCGGCTGCTATACGATCATAAAATGGTTTTATGCAATTAATATCTATCCACCGCGTGCATGCATTGTTGTGTGTCCTTTGATGCAACCGGAAACTATACGGCGTCATCTCATTCTACATTTAGAGCAGCTCATCGTAGCAGATTTTCAGAAGCTATTTTCGGTATCCTATGCAAGGAAGCTTGGCGGGCCTTTGTTTGTTGTTACTTCGCGAAAACGTACGCTTGAATGAACCTTCTTGGTGTAGAGGTGAAAACAGCCTCTAATGCTGCAATCTCTCTTTCTTTAAAAGTTTATTCATTGTACAGACAGAAATCATAAACAGCGCTGACAAAAAACTTCGTTTTATATAAATTGTATTATATTTAGTTGAAGTTCATGCAATAATCCATTCTACTCACTTGATTGTACACCATTCTTCGGCTCGAAAAGTCTTCCAAATTTCGCAATCTTCACAAATTTTGCAAATTAAATTGCTCTTCTTTCCAAATTTACCCATCCGTTCTAGTTACATACTTTAGTTTTGATTTTGACTAGAATACGAAAATTTTACCGTGGTGTGAATCGGCATTTCATGCTCCTATTTCATTAGAGGATAAACTAGTTGTTTCTTATATTAGGTTGTAACAAAATTAATACAGGTTTTGAATTCCAACCGCAATAAGTCATGCACTTCTCATTTCTAAGTAGGTTGCAAAACACCATTCGATAGAGCAAAGCAATCTCTACAAGGTGGCTATCTTGCTTCAGCAACAACTCTGATCCACCACGAGTTTCGAGCCAAAAACCAAAAAGATTTAACTGTCCGAAAAATTGAGAAAAATCGTAACTCAGTTCCTAAAAAACCTACAAAAATTCTAACTTGCTCACGTAAACACTATCCACATAAAACATCTATATACGCCTTTGCCGTATTGTGTTCTCTGTTAAAAACCAAGAAAACGGAAATTTTCTTGCATTTGCCAAAGTGATGCTGTGCCGTTCCCACATTGGCAGTTGTATACTACAAACCTTTAGAAGTACAAACGTAAATTTTCAGCTCTCTACAAGCTTTAGTCCTCGAGAAATTTGAATTTTAGCTTAGGCCATCTGATTAGCGAAAACTATAATCGATATAACTCGAGAACTAAAGCTTGAAGAGAGCTGAAAATTTGCGTTACTACTTCTATAGGTCTGTAGTATACAATTACCTATGTGGAAAGGGCACAGCATCACTTTGGCAAACGCACAAAAATCTTCGTTTTCTTGATTTCTAACAGAGAAAAAAATACGGCAAAGGCATATGTAGATGTCTTATGTGAATAGTGTTTACGTGAGCAAGTTAGAATTTTTGTAGGTTTTTATGAACTGAGTTACGATTTTTCCCAATTTTTCGGACAGTTGAATCTTTTTAGTTTTTGGCTCGAAACTCGTGGTGGATCAGAGTTGTTGCTAAAGCAAGATAGCCACCTTGTAGAGATTGCTTTGCTCTATCGAATGGTGTTTTGCAACCTACTTAGAAATGAGAAGTATATGACTTGCTGCGGTGGGAATTCAAAACCTGCATTAATTCTGTTACAAACTAATAATTGAGTAAGGCAGCAAGAAATTGAAAGCTGATTAATGATGTATCTTAACTCAATTTTTGCGTGTCAGTGAATTAATTTTAAAGAAAGCACATTTTACGTAGTTTAAAAAGCAACGAATTTTGCACGTTATGTCTGAGATTGACATTTAACCATGTCTTAAAACATACTACGCCTACTCGTCAACATGAAATATTTGAATATGAGATGAAAGTGATTAATAATTTCGCACTTCGCCTCCTACTTTCCTCCAAATAGCAAGGTTTCTGAGTTAGAACCTTAGCCTAGAGAAAGTAGGATTTGTAAAATTAAATATCGGTGAAGTAAGTCAATGAAAATTTTGCCCCTGATGCAATCATAAACAGCGCTCGGCACGAGGTGGCTTTCCGTTGTGAAAAAAAAACAAAGTCCCTTTTGACTCCACAATGAAAGTACGATATTCGCCTCAAGATATTAGAAGAGAAAACACATGAAAAGGAACGGAACAAAGAGAACGCCAAAGAAGCATTGAACAAACGCGATGATCGCTAGATGATCAACGCAGCGCGATGATCAACGCAGCGCTGCATATCCAGCTAAGCACTACGCGCCTGGAGCAGTGTTGCCGCCGTCATTCAAAATTTTCCATGAGCTGTAATTGAGCGGGGAGAAGGGGGTTTGAGGCGGCTTAGAAACAGTTTGTAGGTGTGGGATGTAGATGAAATTCGTGTATAGAAAGAGGTGGGAGGGAAAATGAGGGATTATGTGAGGGAGAAAATATCTATGACTTTTTCTTTCTCAAGCCACCTCAGATTTACGAGCCTGCATGATCGCGAGAGTGGGACATGCGTACGGCCATTG